GTCCCTATCACTCCAGATCAAATTGTCGACTTGTTCCCAGTGGCAGAATTTTTAAAAAAGGAATCACATACAGTTGATATTCTGGATCGCTATGGCGTTCCACCCAATAAATTAATACTGTAACCTTTATTAAAGCAGCCTTGAAGGCGCATTACCTGTTCTCTATCTAAAAAAAAATCCTTAAATTGTTTTCTGCATCTTATTCTCCTAAGTATATATTTTTTAATGCATCATTTCCTTGCTGAGGAGGTAGGCAAGTAACTGGCTGCCAGGATCCTCTGCCTGCTGTGTAACTGACAACTGGGAGGTTCACAAGAGAAGCTCAGCTTGACTCCATCTGTTTTTTCCCTTTTCTAATGGCCCAGCTGAGATAAGAAACGCTGCATGTGGGTTGCAGTGTGAACTTGTCGTTTTCCAAGGATTTAGAGCATGTGAATATGCCAAATGCACTTTGCTGGTAGGGTGCATTACAATCTAAACAGCAATGCATGTGTAAAGTGCATTTTAATTAAATTATGGGTTTAGGGAGCTGTGGAGAATATAGAATTAAAAACTTCTGATGAGCAGGTTAGGATTAACTAGTAATTTTGAAAAGTAGGTAAATGTTTTAAGAGACTGACAACAGGTTTGACATTCTTTACCATATTCAGTGCAGTATCAAGTTCCAAGTATTTGATTTTGATAAAATATTCACTTAAGATAACTTAATATACTTGGTATAGACAGAGTGGTTCTCGCGATTTATACTCTTACTCCTAGCTGTAAGGCGACACATGATGTTCTGAGCTGGAGGTGTCCTGAATAATCACAGTAATTGTTTTTCTAAACTTGATGGCTCAATGAAGATGACTGAAGAGGTTGGAATCGAACATAACGTCACTTAGCTAATTGATGTACGTGGAAGCCTGATGCTTAAATCATACTCTGTAAATACATGTCACCTACCCATGGAAAAATGATCACCTGAAGAAAATGAGTGCTATATTTATATTATAATTACCTCTCACTGGCATTTAAATTTAAAGAACAATAAATATACAATTCTGACTCATGACTGCTACTAAACAGACTCGAACACGATATTGGTGTGAGTCTTCAGCATAGGTGAGGGGCCATAGTACCAGCAATCCATATACATTTGTACAGAATATCCTTTAGGGGGCATCTATTAGGAAGCCTTAGACCGCTTTAAAAAAAAGTTCAATTTATTCTTTGCCATTATCTCAAATTGGGAGAGGTGGATAAAATGTACATTTAAAAGATACCGTTTCCACATAATTTCCCTTTGCTTATGTTAGATTTTGCTAGATTGTGTACTGAAAAACAGTAAATAATAATAATACTTGCATTTGATATAGCGCCTTAAAGACGTCTCGAAGCCCTTGACATAATAGAGTAAATAAAGTAAAGGTGGTGTGAGTCATACAACACGCTGAAAACCAAGTGACCAATATTTATACACTGAGATCTGGAAAACAACAACTTAACAGCTCATAAGATTTTCAGATGGCAGTAGATCAATAATAGAAAGGATGTTTTAAAACATTCATGAAATCAAAACTGCATTCATAATAGGCTAATAAGCATTTTCGTCATTAAGGGTAGGGCCCAGGTCATGGGTTAACAGTACAAAACTGATCATGTTTCTGCACAAATTAGTATTCTCCATTGGAGGTGGGGAGGGGGGAGGTACCACAAGGTCAGTATATTGCCCTTTTTAACCTCCTGGACCTGAATCGAATCCAACTTCGACTAATGAGGTGAATGTTTTCCCCACTGTATTTGGCTGGTCTCAATTAATACTCCTGTTTCCTCTATGTGGGGTCTGGATAGTCCCTATCAGCTTGTGGAATAGGAAGAGAGTAGTCAGTCCTTGCACCTGAAAGATGAAACTTGGATCAGTAATAATGTTTTGCATAGAGGTGTCGCTTCCTATAAACAAATGAGGTGATACGAGGTTCGTTTGAGCGTTATGTGTTTGACTGGGGAAAGGGTGGGTTTACTGCTGCACAATCGGATTTTTAAAAAAAAATCAAGTCGCCTGCAGCTATCAGGACAAACTCAAAAGAAACTTAACCCAAGTCGAAAAGAAACCCACAGAGAGCGCTGTGTTGCTGTTCGGAGGTGTGGTAAATTTGTGCATGTGATCTGGAATCTGTTGCGTACGAGTTCGAGATGCACGAAGTTGCAGTAAAAACTGCTTCGCCTTTGAAATGTTTCGCATCAGTGTATTAACCCACATTCTCCTTTACACAAGATGGCGCAACCTCCTCCCTCTTAGCAGCAGAGATCTGTCCCTTGCACCCACAGCCTGAATTTATTACCTTGACATGCTTCCAATTGCCCTAAATTATAGCAAATCCTGACATTTTACGTTCACAATGCAGGTCGTCAAACGTTGTTCATTGCATTTGAAGCACTTGACCTGTTTTAATTTTGTTCAGGGTTTCCTAAGTTTTGGGATATTATTTATTTAGTTAAACAAAAATCCAATCTCTCTCTCTCTCTATATATATATATTTTAACACAATTTACAATACATTAGACCGAACAATGCCATAATTTCCATAAAATTGCTTTTCTGGAATAAAGTTTATTGTCATTACTTTGAGAAGTATTTCGAATGTAACAAGGTGACTATTTACTGCGGGTAAATAGCTTTGCTGCTTAGTTGGAGTCTAGTGCTCAAAGAGTGACTTTAAATATTCACGAAGGGGAGTAATTTCGCTTCAGGTGCCAAGTGTTCAGCAGTCACTGGTGGTGACAATATTAAATTATTTCACTATTGGAAACACAAGGGAAGTAGTTATCAAGGGACATACAGTGTTTCTATAAAACTTCTTTTTAAAAAAAATCTAACCCTGACAATGTTGGCCATTTAACACACACACACAAAAAAAAGAAAAATGCTAAATACAAATGACTCCTGCCATCTCCCGAGGAACATACAAGTTGTGGTGTGCACCTGATGGCATGATATTCCTGAAATGATTTGTAAAATCATGGCTTGGGTAGTGAGTGCCACACTCGGTGACAATTTACCGCTGGGTTTGAACGTGATGTGGTATTAATAAGGAATGCACTGACATCTGCCATCCAAGCTGAGAGCTGCTATCAGCACAGAACCTCAATGAAACCAGTCCTATGGGATTTCAATGTTGTAATCTCATCTCACGGTTCAGATATCGTGGAGAAGTCTCCGGAGCATCGCCAGTCTTCTTTAAGAAATCATCTGAACCCTGTGAGCATTCCCAGGTATTTACTGTTCTCAAATGTAATCATACGAGCACTGCTTTTGTCAGGCACAGGTAGAGGCTCAATAGACTTAGCATAGCCATGGATCAGAGACAGATGGATGACTGGACGTGCCTTCCCCCCCCCCCCCCCCAATGAATACTCTCATTCGAGGCAAAACGACAAATGTGTTGTTGCTCGGAGTGTACACATTAAACAATCTGTGCGTAGTTGTGCAACTTAACATTATTTTCACAGTGTATTATCCCCCAACCGGGTGGGTTTAACTGCAGGGGAATATATTAACCAAACTGGGAGGGGGAGCTTGGTTCAGATCAAAGCCCCACTACCAGTTTATTCTGTACTCAGACACCCCAGAAAATGATGGCACTTCACAGCGGGACAGAACATCTAACAGACAAAGCAATGTTTCACAAGAGCCACATCTGAGAGGCAGTATTAACCTACTTTGTTTTCTTCAGATGCTGGTGGGGTCGATGCGCATTCCCAGCGTTTTCTGTTTCTTTTCCATTTGCGATTTTCCTTTTTACATTTAGAAAAAAAACCTCAGTTTATTCTGTTAGAATTGTCACTAACTGGTATGAAACTCACCACTCACTCACTCACTCACTCACTCACGTGCGTTTAATTTATTGGCCGCATGAAGTTTTGCACTCAATTTGCAATGTTTACACTGGAAGAGGTTGCTTTTCACGATAAATATGATTCTTTCCCAAACCCCGTTTCCCCCCTCCCCCCAAAAAAAATTGCAACCATACAAAAGCTTAGAAGCATCATCAACTGAACCCCTGTTTCTGGGCAAGAAACAGCAATACAGTGAACTGAACTCTCACTTTGGGAAATAGGTCAGGTTACAGGTATTGCGGATTGCAGAGACAGAGTGACAGATAAGCAGATGACAGATCGCGCGTTTTTTCTCCCCAAACCCTTCGTGGGTGCAATTACCCCCCAAAAAAAAAATCTTAAAATGTACAAACAATCACAATAACCTTTTTTTTCCCCTTCCCACGCATGACCTGCAAATCAGAGCAAATGACTTTTTGGGGGATAGCCAGCCAGAAAAAAACACACAAGAAAAAAAAAAGCTGTTAAGAAGTTAACGTTCTGTCTTAAACTCGAGAAACAGATGTATTCTTTTTGAAAGAGTGCAGTGCGGAAGACATTAATTTAAAGTGTTGTCCACAGATTGCTGGAATGAATGAATGAATGAATGAATCCCCTCGTGGGTATATATGTATATATATGCAGAGCGAATTGGATTACCCGCGGTCGGGGGTCGTAAGGAATGTTAATCGCCCCCCAAAAGTGGGGCTAAGACAATCTCCCAGGCACAGCCCTGCAAACACACAGAGTGACACGAGAGTGACAGCAGCGCTTAATCTCCAATCTTAACTCCAGCGCTTAACATTGCAAAGGTTCGCAGAGGGGAGAGAAAGCAGTGGATTCACCCCCAGTCTCCCCCACCGCCCCCTCTCTCCCCCCCTCTCCCCCCCCCCCATCCGCGGAGACGAGAGCGATCACACTGAACACAAAGTCCCCCCCCCCCTCCCCTCCCCAATTACACGTAGCGTCGAATCAGAGAGAGAGAGAGAGAAGATGCACATCGCTTCCCACTGTCACTGAAGGACAGTTCGGGGTAACTGCGCGCAGTCTCCGGCAACAACAGCAGCAGCAGCAATAACAAGGGTTGGTGGGGGTGAGGGGGTGGTGGTGGTGGTGGGCGGGGGGTTGGGTTGGGGGGGGGGGGGGGGCGTTGAGGGGAAAATCAGCAGAGAGTGGAGAAGACAGTCCAGTCGACAGGTACCAGTCATGGCCTTGACCAGGGCAGGTGGCAGAGTTTGCTGTGTGCTCCTGGCGCTGCTGCTGGCGGCCGAGTGGAGTTGCCAAGTGCCCGGTTGTCACAAAGTGCGATCTGCTTTCCAGTTACTGCACTCCAGCGCAAAGTGGACGCCAGAGGAGCCGGTGTCGGGTGCGTTACATGAGATGGGCAGTCAGTCCCTGTGCGTCTCTCTGTGTGTGTGTGTGTGTGTTAGAGTATGGCCAGAGGAGCACCTGTGTGTGTGTGTGTGTGAGAGAGAGAGGGGATATAGGGTCCATATACCCGTGTGTGTGTCTGTGTATATATATGAAAGAGGGGTTGATATCGAGTGTGTGTGTGTGTGCATTTGTCTGTTAGAGAGTACCTGTGTGTGTGTGTGTGTGTGTGTGAAAGGGGGTGATACAGAGTCAATACCTGTGTTGTGTGTTGGGCGGATTTATGTGAAGGCGGGTTGTCTGTCTGTCTGTCTGTGATCATGGCAGATGGATCTAGTATCAAGAGGGGTGTCCGAAAAGGGCAGAGGGAGGTCATTCCAGGTGGGGTAGAGATGTGATGGAGCAGGGATGGAGGGGGGGGGGGGGGGGGGGAGACCTGATAAGGGTCAGTCGTTAGGAATGCGTTAAAATGTCAATCATTCTTTTACTAATGCGATGGTGAGCTCCTCTCAAGTGGAGGAATGAGCCGTCGTAAGATTGACATTCGTCAAAAATAGTTCACCAATTTAAACCCAAACCAGTCAGTCAGTCAGTGCAGTGCAGTGCAGTGTTGCTTGTGGTCGATGATCCCAAATGCGTGATATTGGGCAGTTTTCCACAGTGCCTCTGCTTTATGGCTGTTGCTGCTGATTTTAGAAGATGTTTGTTAGCTCTTAAAGTTATTAAAGAACAAGGGAGTGAGTCCAGGTCTTTGAAAGCAATAACAAACATCTTGTTTTTTTTTTAAAAAAGTTTAAAATCCAAATATGGAGTCGGATTGAGATTGTCCTGGTGACTTAACCTGCGTATTGATTTCTCTTTAATTTTCTTACATGATGGTTCAATTTTACCTCGTTCCCCCTTCTTCTCTTTCCTTCTGAACTTCCTCCTCCCATTTTGACGTTACCATCTTTTTTTTCTCTTCTTTTTGTGTTTGTGTTCCAGTCTCTCTCTCTCTCTCTCTCTCGATGGTATATTTCTGCCCATCTTCTTTGACCTACTGTGAAGGTGAAATGTTAATAAAGTAACTAATTCAGGCAGCAGTACATAATTGATCTATCTATTCAACCCATTCCATTTCCATAAGATGGTTCCATTTTAAATCTATGATCACAGAATCTTTATTTGTTCACAAAAACTTGTAGCCTATTGTTCCACTTCATGAGCTGGTAATATTCCTCACTTGCTAAAATATCCCCCAAACTCCTGCATTTCCTATTCTCTTTTGTTACCCTATTTTAAAGAATGTCATCCTTTGTTCTTGAATTTTGAACGTGGCGCAAATGTGTACCTGAATTTATCGGTTTCAAATAAAACGATTGAGCCTTTTGTTGGGAGGATATAACCCTCTCATTTTGTAATAATTTATACCCTCTCCCCTAGGACATACATGAACTGTAGTTGAGTGGACAGATGACCTCGTATTGGGTTTCTGCTGAATAAAAATGGCTTGTTAAGGACTCTCCCTCCAGTTACTTTTCCCTCTTTTTGTGTGTAAAAATGTGTGCTCATTTGTTCTCCACAATGACAGCTGGAAACTCAGTGAGGAGAGTACTGCAGACAAGAGCATTGTCCAAACCATGTAGATTAACATACAATTGAAGTAGTAGATTAAATTGAGGATTACACACACACACACACACAGCAGCAAAAACACAATTGTTGCACTTAATTTGAAAATAGCTTAAGAAACTTTAAAGTATTACAATGGATTCACATTCCTTTGTTGCTAATAGTCAAATAAGCACCTTCTTCTGCTCTATTAATATATCATGCAACTTGAGATTCTAATGTTTATTAAATGCTTTTTTCACCACACACAGGAGAATCAACATTCAGACAATGTAAGGACATTAACATTACTGCCGAGTTACGCTCCACAGTTTCTGTATCACAAATCTAAAAGTGTCTTACAGCGCTCATTTAAGTGGCAATGCTTCAGTGTTTGACTGTTCCCAAAACCATGTCCTGAAGGAATCAATTTGACGTAGAAGGCTGCAGTATATCTCTGCTCCTCCTGCATCCAATGCAGAAGGAATTTTTGAATGATTTATTTTTGAGAAAGGACCACTGTTAAGGGTACTACTATTTTTAGAAAGCCAATCTCAATCAAAGCTCTGTAATTTCTTTTTAAAAAATGGTCCACATTTGTCACCTTGTAGCTCTATGTCTGCACGTAGTTGCACATTCACAATACTCTGTTTTTCTTGAGTTCAGCCTTGGAGGGATAGTAACTGGTTTGTTGCTCAGAATTGCTGTACCCTGGAAGAGTTGTCATATCTAGGGCCCAAGGTACAATTCGAATTTTATTGTACATTGTTAGCAAGACTGTTGGGAAAAGTATTTTTATTGTAAAGCAGAAAAAACTACAGATCTGACTCCCATGTCACACTTAATGTATTGAACAAATTATGAAAAAGAGAAAAGTTTCTAAACTTCTTACATTTTCTAGAAATATAGCCTGTGAGTATTTAGTTTTTGTCCAGGAAAACTTACGGTTGACAATGGGCATTCATCATTACCAGTAGGTGGACACCCTGAAGAAATGTCAATTTTAATTCAACTAATGATTAAATGTGTCAAGGTTTTGTTATAGAGATTCCATGCAATACTTCAGGGTGATATTGACTAACTATGCTTCTGACTCATGTTTTAAAATTTGTTTTATCCCTTTCACTGCATTACCATCAGTATTGATTTCAGCACTGAAGTCATTGCTTTGCATTTTATTATCTAGGGATGTTAGTGGTCTATAAAAATAAAATCTTCAGCAGTGAATGTCAGGCTAATTAGCATTTGTTCTTTGGGTTTCTGTTGTACTTTAGCCTTGCTTAAAGGTATTCATATTGAAGAAGCAAAGGAGATCAGAAGAATAAATGAAAACTGCTCAGTACTAGGACATTTTTTTCTATCAAAGCTGTATATTTGCTTTGATTTTTAAATGTTAATTGTGATAGTGATGGTTTCTATCCAGAGTCTATGGAACTGTAATTTGATAACTTGCATATACTTAGATGTTCATTTTATAGAGCTGCTTCATCTGGGATTGTGTGATCAAATGTATATATAAAGAGAGAAAAGTAAATTAACTGGAAGGGTTCAAGGTTTGTGCATAAAATGTTGAAAGGAATACAATTTTCTTTTCACCTTTTATTTTGAAATGTTAGTGGAAAATGTTTGAGCAGTACATCAATTAAATCTAAGATGCATTCACGAACAGTGAACTGAAAAATAAACAAGGAGCCCAAACAGCGATTAAATGTTGTCCTCTTCACATAGTAGCTTGGCTTTGGTCAACTATCAAGCCCAACTCGTTCGTACCTTTTATTTTGGATGTAACACTTTATAAATTGTTTTACTTACCAAAAGTAGACTAACTCTTTTGAATTATCCTCTGGGGCTCGAAAGAAAACAAATGCTCCTCCTTACATATCATTTCCTGGCCCTTGCTTCCAGAAAGTAAAAAGAATCATCCTGGGAGCAAGAACAAAAATAGCACAAGTCTGATTATTTCTTTTTCCTATATGTCTTTCTCCTTCAAAATTGGGCAGTTACTATCTAGACGGAGAAATAAGTGGGGTATCAGTTCCAGACTCATCTCATAATCCAGTCAGCGGTTTGCACCATTTGGTGAGTAAATCCTGCATAGAGTTTGTCAGGATTTATCTTCTCGGTGACTGAAACATTTTTGGGGCTTGGCTGTGTTCTGTACATGAAGCACGTTGTGGGAATCCAAGTAAAAAATAAATTAATAGGCTAGTTGCCCTGAATATCTTTAGGATCCCCATAATCCTCACCCACTTCTATGAATAATTTTTTTTCTAGATTAATAATGTTGCAGAACAGTTATTTATCAAATGGGCCCTATTTATCCTCCTAGGTCTTGGCTACTGCAATACAATTTGCATTGTTTGTTATCAAGTGTTTTGCCTGCAGATTTCCTAAGGAGAATTCATCACTCAATTTGTATAAAGTTTTCATGAATCTTATTGCTTTATCATTTGGCGAATCCCCTTCAGAATGTGTTTAATCAGTGCTGAAAGTTTTTTTTAAAAACAATTTCCCTTTGGAGCCACAATTATGCTTTCTTTAATTTTATTCCTTGTTTTCAGGGCTAGAGCAATCATCAGTGTCCCATTCATGAAATTTTAATATTCTTTTGCCATTCAGCACATTACTTTCAGTAGAACAAACTGGAGATTAAATTTATATGGTCAAATTGAACAAAGTGAAGAAGGGACTCAAAAAATATGAAAGGCAGGAGATTTGTGTAGCACTGAAAGACATTATCGGCCATCACTGATGAGCTTTCTCCTGGAAGGAAGCACATATGATTGTGTCAGCCTAGATAATGACTTCAAGTTCTGATTGGGGTGGACGGTTGGTGGTGGGGAAGAGATTCAAACCTTCCACATTCTGACCCAAGGCAAGGATGCTACCAACTGAGCTAAACTGACACAAATGAATGTCTCTTATTCAATGATCAAGGTTTAGGGATTCAGGGTCATTACTGTGAATTTTGATCTTAAAAGTTTCTCCTGGAGTTATTACTGGAGTTAATTGAGATGCATTGGCACTCCAATTTCTTTGAAGAGAATAAAATTAGGGCTAAACTAGATAGAAAGTATGTACGAGGCCTCACTATAATGTATTCCCTTGTGTAACAAACCCTGCTTATTCTTTCCCATAGTAGAGCATACCATGGAAGGTCAGGTATAAATGTTTCAGTAAATAGAGCTACAGTGTTTGGATAATACCAAAAGTAGTCCATGCGTTCAAGTCACACGGGTGAGGTTTTTTTTTATCTGCGAGGCAGTTTTGTGATTTCATAATTAATTACATTTTATAAGAAACATTCCAACCCTGCTGTGATAACTGTATGGCTATTCGGGGTGAGCGATTTGACCTCTGTTCAGTTCGACTGCCCCTCGAGTCCACCTATAAATCACAGTCAAG